CTTTTATTTGAATGATTCTGTCCTGCTGGAGTGTGACATGATTTGTTTGTGTACAAACACCTAACTTGCACCTAACATAGTGTTGGATTTGCATCCAGACACACCTGTTACATTTTCTGTAATGAGGAATAGCTGAAGGTAGATGTTTACTGCAGGTTTAAATACTTTAAGTTTTTTTTCTTTTTCATTTGTCTTCAGCTCTGGAGAGCTCAAGGATAAATGGTTGGCGCTCATCAATGAGTAAGTTATTTAATCCTTTTTTCAGTGTAAATTCTCATTATTAATCACAGTTACAGATGGATATAAATGTGAAATTAAAGAAATAAGATTAACTGAAAAAGAACAGTGATGCGTTTTGTGATGCGTTTATTGACTGAGTTTCATCTGATACATCAGATGTTCACATTGAAGGAATTTCTGGTCATTTTTGCAGTGATGTTCTGCCCATTTGTTATCAGTCGTTTTTTATCTATCATCTGACGTCTGTCAACGTTTTAAACAAGAGTGGGCAAATGGCTAGCAAAACAAAAGTTCTTTTTTCAGGTCAATAAAATAACTCTTTCCCAAAAAGAACACAGTGATGTGCAAACTCTACATTACATGACGTTAAAGTGTCATTCAAAATGTTAAATATTCACTACTGTTTGACAGAATATCACTTCAAAAATAACCAGACTTTCCTTTAATCAATTTTTTCTCTCATTCCAACACTTTTTCTCTTTGTTTCCACTTTCAGTCGTATAAATGAGGGGAAAGAGAGAGACGAGCCCAAGACCATCCCTCTGAAGATATTCGCCAAGGATATTGGAAACTGTGCATATGTGAGTTTATTTAATTTCTTTCTCTGTCGTCACCAACAATATGTTTGTGTTGTGTAACACACACGTGTCCATCATGTTTCCACCAGGCCAAGACACTTTCAGTCAACAACAGTGACAGCACGGACGATGTGATCCAGACGGCTCTGCAGCAGTTCGGCATTTCAGTAAGTATGAATTCAGACGTGTTGTTACATGTGTGTAATCATGAATGAAACAGCTGCACTGTGTGTCTTCACAGTGTTTACTGTTGGTGGTATCTTTACTTAAAGCCGACAGTAAAAATGTGTATTTTCTTCTTCCTAGGGTTGCGTAAAAGACCACCGGTTATGGGTGAGTTCCTGTAGGGACGATCCTCCGTACCCTCTCATCGGTGAGTCAATAACACAACATACACTT